GCAGACAAACCGGAGCGACTTCTAATCCAACATATGATGAAGTTACGTTCAATTTCTTTGCATTAGGTGGCGTTGGAAGTTACACTGAGGAAGTACAAGTTTCTACCGCAGTAACTGGGATTGGTGAAACGGAAGAAGTAAGTGGACATAGTAGTGCCAGCTCACCACAAACGTTACCCAGGCAGGCAGTCGCCAAAACACCAACGCCAAAAAAATTAGATGCCAAGCTTTGCCATTAGCTGGAAAGAAAGGAGCTCTCAAGTCTAAAGGGAAATCATCAGCTGCAGAAAATCGTTCAGGAGATCATCGCCATTATCGCTAAATAGGATGCAGAGGTTGTGCAATGTAACAGCGTGCTGGACAAGCTCGGCAGCTCTTGTCATGTTTTTCACTCTCATACCCGTGTGGAGAGCGTAAAACGTTCTCTTGAGAACGCCAAATGCCCTCTCAATTGTGCATCGTGTTTTCTTACGCGCCTCATTAAACCTGCATCGAGCCCCTTCGACGTCTCCTCTGAAAGGGGGGATCAACCAATTGTTACCGGCGAAGGCAGAGTCGCCTAAAATAACTGCTTCTGGGAATGGTCTATTCCCCTGTTGCTCCAGGGCGGTGCACAGTCAGCTTTCTTTAATCACTCATAATCATGCCACCCTCCTGGGCATCGACTGCTACAGAAGTAGAATGTGTAATCTGGGCCTGATACCATGGCGACATTCAGAGATTTGGAAAGATGGCGGTTGACGTAGGCGTCTTCATCATTGTGAGATGGGTTTACTTAAACATGAGTTCCATCGACGCATCCTGCAACACACGGAAAGCCTGCGGTGTCTCTGAGTTTAGCGGCGATACTTAGAAGCTAGCCAGGCCATCGTATGAACCCCTCCTTCAAGCTTAGTATTGCAGGTAAAACGCGATGAATGATATGCCATACTGTTGATGTGGAGATACAATGAAAAAAAGAGTGCATTACGTGATAGAAGGAATTTGTTCCAAGGAAGTGGAGAAATACTGAAAGTTGCTGTCTTGCCGTTACTGCTCTGTTAGGTCTCGTTCTATGCTCCAAGCGCGGGCCTATTAATTCCAAAAGGCGGACGAAGGTGTCCACAGGCAGTCGAAACTTCTCTCGAAATTCCCTTGGATTTTCGGTGTCGAAAAGCCTTCTGTTTTGGAAATTCCTAGGTCGACGGATAACTTGATGTCTTAGCAGTTCGTCGAGTTCCTCATCACTAGAAGATGACATATTGTGACACCCCCATGTCCTTTTTCAGAAGAAGTACTCAGCGTCTAAAAGTGACATGCGACATTTATTTTGCACCTGTGATTTACAAGTCGAACTCTTGTAAAAATAGAAGGTGGACTCTTGTAAAAGTTTTATTAAATTGGATACTTACTATCTTTTACATTTGTAGCGCTACACCTGTAATTACAAGTCGGACACTTGTAACCTGGACTTGTAACGATGTTTTTTAAACTCGTTTTCGGAGACTTGTAACCTGGACTTGTAACGATGTTTATTAAACTCGTTTTCGTCTGCACTTATAAATATAACGGTCTAACTTGTAGATTACGAGTGTAGAAGTTTTATTAAATTGACCCCTGCAGTATATGAGAAATACCAATAGATAAGCGAGGGAGATGACTTTTTCGTACAATTCTGTATGGATCAAACTTTCTCTCATTCGTTTCTACGACGAAAGAAAAACGGGAAACAAAAGAAACGTTCCTATTGTGTATCCATACTACAAACGGTTAAAATTTACCCGATTCACACACAGGACATTACTAGGTTGCAGAGGTCATGTGATTAAAAGGGCGCGAAACTGAACAAACTGGGAAGCCCGCTAACAATCTTAGTACATCAGAATGATATAGCAAGACTGCGAGAACGATCAGAACGCGTTAAAAACACAGCAGTCACTCAGAAATAGCATTATAATACGATTCATCCTGCAATCAAGTTTTACAGAAATTATTATAGCAGCTAAACTTTAAATGGTTCGGCAAGTCGAATTCCACACTTTTGCTCTTGGTTTTCTTAGTCTTGATGCAGAATCTTAGAGTGAAATGTTTAAGAGGAATGGAAATGTGATCAACCTACAGCGAATGTTTTAAAAATGGTTCATTCTGATCAATGTCAAGTTTTAACCAATAACTGGGTTTTCAGTGAATCTTTGCGAGATTTAACATAAATTTGGAAAATTTTCATTACAATTGCAACGACGAACAGAAATTCTCAAATCAGAAAAATTTTCTCAATTCCCA